ATCAATAGATAAAGCATGGGACAGCTTATTAGCAGCATCAGTTTCATCAGGTTCTACTGATATTTGAATATATGGTAACTGACCACTTTTACCAGAATTATAATCAGCAACATGACCCTGGGTAATCTAAATGAGATTAAGAAAGAATTGATAGGCAAGGACATGAGTGAAAAGAGAACAATTAAAGATAGGTTGAAAATAATAAAAATGATTGGATTCAGTATCCATTGTTCTTACAGCATCAGTATTGCATAATGTGAATCTCCAACCATTTTTGTTCTCTGAAGGAATATCAGTCACTTTCAAGAGAGGATCTTTCCTTTTTGAAAAAGTAAAACGAAAACTAGTATCAAAGTCACCAAGAGCTTGAGCAGCAGGATGCACTTGTAACAACTACATGTGTATACCAAATAATATCATATAATGAAGACAACTCAGTGTGCACATACCTCATTAGAAGAAGGTAAGTCTTGTAGTACAGCTAGACTCATCACTACTTTATCAGGCAAACACTTCTTATAAAATAATGCTTGACAATAGAAAGTAGGAGCTATTAATAAGCAATAATAATATAAAGTATTATACTGTTAGTGGTTGACTAACCATAAGTGAAAGCAGTCAGTGCTAGACCAGTTGCTGCTCCAACAGCTGCTATGGCAGTAAGAGGTACAGCAGCTACACCAGCAGCAACTCCAGCAACAATACCAGCAGCACCACCAAGTGTGGCCCCTGCACCCATCACAATAGCAACCAGTGAGAAACTCTTCAATTCTATAGTACCAGTCTGAGACTCAGCTGAGAATGATCCTCCTGGTAACAACTCAAACTTAAAAGGGCTGGTCTGTTTACCAGGTTGAACCTCAGCTACTACAAAACTCAGATACTCACTCTGTGATTCAGACCTCAAATGAGCACAATGTACTAGCTCTACAGTCACTGGTTTATCCAGTTCAGGAACAGTAGGAGACACAGATATGTAACACACACTACTGATCAGATGTGTGCC